AGATTCCTATCTTTTATTTAAATCCAACTCTGTCTACTTCTTGAAATCTGTGTGTGAATATTTTTGCATATATCAATAGAAAGAAGACTGGATTGGAGGGAAGAAAGCACCAGGTAGACAAGTTAATCACCTAATTTTATGACCCCATCATCATTACTGCTTATAGAACTAATAGGAATATTTATGTTGCTGGCTCTGACCTTAGGGAAACAATGGATTGCTAAGGATTCTTTTAAAAATGAGAAAGAAAATGAAAAAAATTTCAAGTTACTTTAGATATTGAAAACTTTAGGTGGTACATGCTATGTATTAAGTTTATATTACTATTTTTGGCCTCTTTTTCCTTAGGAAACTCAGACTCTCCTTTTGGAAGGAATAAACAGAGATTTCTGACTTTGCTTCTTTTTAGTTTTTATGTAAAAATTCAAATCATGTATCCACAAAGGATTAACTGCTGTGGGAATTGCTGTCCTGCTGTCAACAGCTAGAACACCATATAGAATACATGAAAATACTGTTTCTAAACATTGGACAGTAGGCAAGACAGGACTTTGATCTCTGAGAAAAGAGAAACAAATGAAATTAATCTTACATTGCTTCAGCTTGTAGCCTGAGGGTTTGGTTAAATTCTAAACCACAAGGCCAGGCTATAACAACTTCCAAGGAAATAGCAACTACCAGAAGCTGTAAAATGAATAACTCTTAGTGCTCACTCAGGGCCAGAAATCATTTGACTTCCCAGCAGCTAGAGAGGAGAGACATCACTGAATACATGAACATTCAGCAGAGACTCCCAGAAGAACCATAACTTGGAAGTGGGGGCAAATTGGCCCTAGAATAAAGGATTCTCTAGATCTGTCTTAAAAGACCTGAGAGGATCAAGCTAATATGCAAGCAACTTAACTATACAACAAGATCTGGTATTCAGCAATGTAAAAGTCACAATGTCTAATCTCCCATCAAAAATTACTAGGCATGTGAAGAAGCTGCAGGGTGGGGGGTGGGGGTGCCAGAATCAGTCAATAGAACCAGATCTACAAATGACAGAAATGATGGAATTAACAGAGGATTTTAAAATAGTTATTATAAATGTGACCCTTATATTCAGAGAGAGAGAAGAAAACATAAGCATAATATGAAGAAAAATAGAAAATAGAACAATAAACAAAGGGAACTTCTAGAGGTGAAAAATATATCTGAAATGAAAACCAATATAAATGGAATTAATAGCAGATTAAACACTACAGAGGAAGAGATCAGTGACATTGACATACATAGCAATTAAAACTATCCAAAATGAATCTGAGAGGGAAAAACTAAAATAATATGAACAGAGTTTTAGTGCCCTGTGTGACAGTACCACATGGTCTAATATAAGTGTAAGTGGAATCCCATAAGGAGAGGGGTGGGAGACATAAAAAATATTTGAATAATGGCCAAAATTTTTCCAAATTTGATGAGAACGATGAGCCCCCAGAGCTAAGAAATTTAACAATTCCCAAACAGAATAATCATAAAGAAAACCATAGAAAGGAACATTATAATCAGATTGCTGAAAACCAATGATAAAGAGAAAATATTAAAAGCAGCCAGAGGGAAAAAGACATATCACATACAAAGGAACAAAGATAAGAATGTACATAAATTTATCATATACTGTGCAAACCAGAAGGGAATTTCTTTAGAGCACTAAAAGGAAAAAAAAAAAAAAGCCAACCTATAATATTTTACATAGCAAAAATGTCTTTCAAAATTGAAGATGAAATAAAGACTTTTTCTCACTTTACCAAAACTGAGAGAACTTATTGTCAACATATCTGCACAACAAGAAATGTTTAAGGAAGCTCTTGAGACAAAAGGAAGATGATACCAAATGGAAATGTGGATCTATACCAGAAACAATGAGGAACACCAGAGGGTAAATATGTGTATAAATATAAAAGACATTTTTCTAATTTTAAAATTTCTTTAAAGTATAATCAGTTATCAAAGTAAAAATAATGTGTGGTTTATAACATGTAGAAATAAAATATAGAACAATACAGGGGGAATGGAAGTATATTGTTGTAAGGTTCTCTACACTATACCTAAAGTGGTATGATATTACTTGAAGGTTAACTGTGATAAGTTAAAGATGTATATTGTAAACCCTTGAGTAGGGTTCAGCAAACCCAATAGGCCAAGTCCAGTCCACTCCTTATTTTTGTAAATAAAGTTTGTTGAAACAGCCATGCATATTCGTTTACATATTGCCTAGGGCTGCTTTTGCACCACAGTGCAGAGTCTAAAGTTGCAGCAGAGATCTTATGGCCTACAAAGCCTAAAGTATTTAATGTCTGTCTAACCCTTAACAGAAAAAATTTGGCAATACCTGCTATAGAGTAACCCCAAAACATGAAAAGGTACAGTTAATAAGCCAATAGTAGAGATTAAATGTAGTAAAAAAAAATACTCAGTTAATCTAAAAGAGGGCATGAATCGAAGAAAAGTGGAAGAAAGAAGAGTTGAGTCAAGAAAAGTAGCAAGGTGGCAGACATACACAACAATATTTATAATTTATTAAATGCTAATGATATACACACTTTAATTAAAAGACAGATTGTCAGATTGGATAAAATAGGAAGACTCAACCATATGCTGCCTGCAGGAAACCCACTTGAAATATAAAGACGTGGGTAGGTTTAACGTAAAAGGATGAGAAAAGGTATACCATATGTCCACACAAAGACTTGTGAGTAAATAATCATAAAAGGTTTATTCATAGTAGTCCAAAACTGGAAACAATCCACATGTCAATCAACAGGTGAATGGTTGAACAAATTGTGGTGTATCCACAATTTTAAATGCTACTCAGCAATAAAAACAAATTAACTACTAATGCATGCAGCAACACTGGTGAATCTCAGAATCATTATGCTGGAAGAAAGAAGCCAGATACAAAAGAGTACATGCTGTATGATTCCAGTAGTGTAAAACTCTAGAAAAACTAAATATAATCTGTGGTGAAAAAATCCAATCAATAGTTGCCCAGGGGTTAACTTGAATCGGATCAAGAGAATTTGGGGGGGGCTAATGGAAATGTTCTTTATCTTGATTATTATGTCAAAATTCATCAAATGTTCATTTAAAATAAGAGTGTACATTGTTATTTATAAACTATGCTTCAATAAGGGTTACTTTTAAAATTTAAGTCACGGAACAATGTAGTGTGAGGCTTTTGTATTCATTGTAGGCATTATAATTTACTAGACCAGGCGAGGAAATAAGATGTAAATGACTACAACTATGAAAAGTTTGATGCATTTAGAATCTCCAGAACATTATTATTCTATGTATATTTCCTCTCGGCTCTTCAATTTTGAGGGATACGAATCCTTAAAAACTATAGAGTGTATCTTTTGAGTCTTAAAAAAAGCTAATAAAGAAACATTATTAGGGACTTACCTGGTGGCGCAGTGGTTAAGAATCCGCCTGCCAACACAGGGGACAAGGGTTTGAGCCCTGGTCTGGGAAGATCCCACATGCCGCAGAGCAACCAAGCCCGTGTGCCACAACTACTGAGCCTGTGCTCTAGAGCCCATGAGCCACAACTACTGAAGCCTGGGCGCCTAGAGCCTGTGCTCCGCAACAAGAGAAACCACCGCAATGAGCAGGCTGCACACCGCAACGAAGAGTAGCCCCTGCTCGCTGCAACTAGAGAAAGCCCGCGTGCTGCAAGGAAGACCCAACGCAGCCAAAAATTAATTAATTAATTAAATTTAAAAACATTTTTTAAAAAGAGACATCACTCATCTTAAAGCAGTCTGCTAAGTGGGTTTTTTAAATTTATTTATTTATTATTTTTGGCTGGATTCCATACCAGATTTGATTCCAAACCCTGTTTTCCTTTCACAGACTAGTGATAAATTATCATCTTTATTTTTTTAATATTTATTTATTTATTTGGTTGCACCAGGTCTTAGTTGTGGCAGGTGGGCTCCTTAATTGCAGAACATGGGCTCCTTAGTTGTGGCATGTGAACTTTTAGTTGCAGCATGCATGTGGGATCTAGCTCCCTGACCAGGCCCCCTGCATTGGGAGCACGAAGTCTTATCCACTGTGCCATCAGGGAAATCCCTAAATTATCATCTTTAAATGCTTGGTTGCTTGTGTAAAAAATTCTGGTTCAAAATTTATTTATTAAAAGATTCATTTGAAAAATTTTTTGAAAGAGTTATTCTGGCATTTGTTTTAGGGACTAAGGTTCTGTAAATCAAGACAGTTAAGGAACAAGATAAGGAAATAAGGAATTCTGTGCCGTTCTGTTGTAAAAAATCCTTTCAGTTGTGTAGCTTATGATAATGGTTCCCTTAATAACATTTTGTTAGTAAATCCCAAAAGTTGAGCTTTGGCCTCTTGCTAACCTCAGGAAAATGTTCAAGAGAACTTAAAAGGAATTTTTTTTATTATATCATAATACGTCCAAGTTGTATAAGAATGCTTACTTATCAAGCACCTTGGATATAATATTATACGTACTACAGAAATATGAGGTGATTGTCCTTGAGTAAGTCTCACTTATTAGTGTACTTTCACATGTCATTCCCCACAGATTCTTAAAAAAGCTCTGGCTCCCGAGAGCCACCTCCTACAGGGTATAGAATTTGGCCCAGCAATCTCTGGCTACTTAATAAAAATTTACTAAATGGATTCAGGGTTTGTATTCACCAATACCAAGAACTTTACCTTAAATTCCTGGGAAAGCGTCTCCTTGACCCACTTAAAAGATAATCCTTTGCATATTTTCTTTTTTCTGCAAAGTGTTGTGTGATAGATATGATCTTCCATAAGCCATTTCCTGGAATAACCTTCAACTAAAGCTAAAGGGCATATTCTTGAACCTTAGAAAACATTTTAAGCCACACTAATAATAATAAACCCCCATTTAAGAAGATTAATAATGTCACTTTAACTTATAATGAAATCTAATTATCATATGGTTATGGGTCTTTTTCATTCAGATGTGACAGTGGTGTATCAAAATGGGTTACCTGTGATATCTGTGAGGCTACCATCCCGGCGTGAACGCTGCCAGTTCACACTCAAACCTATCTCAGACTCTGTTGGTGTGTTTTTACGACAACTACAAGAAGAGGATCGGGGAATTGACAGAGTTGCAATCTATTCACCAGGTATAGTCACCTTCATTATTTTTTTTTTAAAATTTTTATTGGAGCCTAGTTGCTTTACAATGTTGTGTTAGTTTCTGCTGTACGGCAAAGTGAATCAGTTATACATTTACATATATCCACTCTTTTTTAGGTTCTTTTCCCACATAGGCCATTAAATAGACATTTCACCAAGGAAGACATACAGATGGCCAAGAGGCACATGAAAATATGCTCGACATCACTAATCATTAGAGAAATGCAAGTCAAAACTACAATGAGGCATCACCTCACGCCAGTCAGAATGGCCATTATAAAAAAATCAAGAAACAATAAATGCTGGAGAGGGTGTGGAGAAAAGGGAACCCTCCCATGCTGTTGGTGGGAATATAAATTGATACAGCCACTATGGAGAACAGTATGGAGGTTCCTTAAAAAACTAAAAATAGAACTGCCATACCACCCAGCAATCCCACTACTGGGCATACACCTTCATTATTAATTCCCACCCACCCATCATTTCACTCCAAATTGTTTTTACACACACACACACACACACATACACCACTGCAAAAGAATCCCATGCTCTTAACTTTAGGACACAATCTTTTGCTTAGCAAATGTCAGGAGAGACAGTGATTTCTCTCCCAGTTTTCAGAATATGATTGCTCAGTTTTAGCAAGGGTATATACACAGGGATCTCATTCAAAAGCACCTCACATATAATGCCATGGGCAAAGGTGAACCATCAATCACATTTATACTTTTGAGACCTTTTGTCATTACCTTAGGTGTAGAATAAACTTTTCTAGTAGTTGAGCCATCATCTCTGAAGATATGAAATATTACACCTTCTTTTTAAATCTTCTTAGGTCTTTCACATAAATGTTTACAAAATGAAGACATATGGTTTGAAAACAATATAAAATAAGGCACTAAAAATTCCCATTTGACATGATATCCATTTCATTTATTTATTTTTTAAGCGCCTTACATTTTTCCCACTTTCACTTTGAAAAATTTTAAACCTACAGAAAAACGTAAAAGCCTAGTACAGTAAGTACCTATTTACTCTTGGATTTACTCAGTTGTTGCTAATTTGCCACATTTCTGTAGTTTAAATATTTTAAATATTCTTAATTCTCAACTCATCTTGTAATGTAATTAATAGATCAGCTTGGTGTACTTTGCTAACCCTAGCATCTGCCCCTACTGGATTATTGGCAACTAATCAGTAACTATACTGCAAAGTACCATATATTAGAAAACATTGGGTGTTTTACTCAACCAACTTCCATCATAGACATCCATGCACCTCTCCCAGTGACCCTAGATTTCCAGCTGACACATATACATCTATGTAATTATTTCACTTGTTCATAAAGTTCTTCCAGAAAAACACGTTGTTAAATCTTCACCAAAAAGATGGCCATGAAAACAAAAAGCCTCAGATAGTATAAGCGTTGTTTAGCATAGAATTTAGGGATAAGGCAAAAAGTTAACTGAAATTTAAAAGAGAAGACATAATTTTAAAATCTATTTTGAGGATTGCTTTTTTCCTGACCATTCTTGAATAATTATGGACATATGACCTTAAAATTTTCACATTTAAATTTTCACAGATGGCGTTCGAGTTGCTGCCTCAACAGGAATAGACCTCCTCCTCCTTGACGACTTTAAACTGGTCATTAATGACTTAACGTATCATGTACGACCACCAAAGAGAGGTAACAAGTAACCTTGATAAGGTCAGAGAAATGTGAGAACGGCTTTTGGAAAGAACTTTTTTTCCCCTGGGTAAAGTTGAGAAACAGTATTCAAAGAGCAGTCAAAGTTTTACATATAGGTAGCACTTCGCTAGTACACTGACTAAAACATAGACACCAGAATGCTTTATTATCGGCTCTTGTCACTGTTTCGCATAAATGAGTGTTCTACATAACTTAAACTCCTTCCTTCCATACAAGCTAAAAGTCATATTATTTTAATAACGTTACTGGGGGAATCTTTTTTTTTTTTTTTGCCGTACGCGGGCCTCTCACTGTTGTGGCCTCTGCCGTTGCGGAGGACAGGATCCGGACACGCAGGCTCAGCGGCCATGGCTCACGGGACCAACTGCTCTGCGGCATGCGGGACCCTCCCGGACCGGGGCACGAACCCACATCCGCTGCATCGGCAGGCTGACTCTCAACCACTGTGCCACCAGGGAAGCCCACTGGGGGAATCTTTTTTAAAAATTATGGAATTCCCTGTCCTCTTAAACATTTGTAACAGGAATTAACCCCCTTTTTTGATGGCTCAAGGTTAGCAGTTTGAAAGTCAACTATTGTACAATAGTAGTCCTTGGGAACTTCGGACGAGAATATGCTTTTATGCGAAAAAATGGGATATTTGCCTCCAGTGCCAGAAAACTCAGTAATCAGATATTTTCATGAACTACTTTTAAAAACCAAAGTTAATGCAAAAAATCTATGATAAACAAAATATGAAAAATTTAAATAAAGACAAAGTTAGTTTTACTGATTTTTCTTTTTACCCCACACTCCAATATGGCTTTGCACAGTACTGATGCTATTAAATAGCCCTCTAAAATAACATTTTGAAGTGTGTCTCTTTTGGTCATCTTTCTCTCTTTGCCCTTGATGTTCATTGTCACTCACTGCTGTCGTTAATTCCCCTTCCACCACCACCACCCCCTCCATCAGCTTCCTAGGACATTTGTTATTTTCCATTCTGCTTTTGAGAATTGTGTCTAATGTAGAAAAAGTTCTAAGTAAAAGCCTAAGTATTGAATGCCTCCAAAATCTGGTCCACATCTACCTTTAAAGTTTTTCTCTTTTCCTCTTAAAAGATTCCTACTTTTCCTCCACCCTCTAGTTCTTTTGCTCTTTCCTTTACCATCTCAGTGTTTTCTCACCTTTCCTCTAAGATGCCTTTTTCTTTTATTCCTAACCTCCTATTTCCTCAGGTCAAAATCATCAATGTCGACTCTTCCATGATCCCATTCTTTCTTTTTCTTACTCCCAGCCAACCAGAAGTGATTATTCTCTTCTCTGAATTCTTCATTCCTTTTCTTTTCAAATGATCAGAGGGAAGGCACTGTGATTTTTGTATATCCCATTGACTTAGGTAGTCATCCTATATTGAGCGAGTTAAATGAGTTAAAGAATCCTTTAAATAGTAAGACATTACTGAATCAGATTTTATTAAGTTGGAATAATTGAACATGTAGACCAAGGATTGTTAGCTATATATTAGCTATACTAATATGTTTTTCTTCTTTATTCCCTGATTCTTGGACTAGATGTTCTCTTTAAAATAACAGAAGTACAGGCCTTATTTTACTCAGTTTTTTTTTTGTTCTTTAAATTTGCTCTTTATTTTTTTCTGGCTTTATTGACATATAATTGACATATAACACTGTGTAGTTTAAAGTATACAGTGTGATGATTTGATACACTTATATGTTGAGAAATGATTACCACAACAGGATTAGTTAATACCTCCATCATCTCACATAATTACCATTTCTTTTTGATGAGAACACTTGAGATCTACTTTCTTACCCACTTTCAAGTATACATTACAGTTTTGTTAACTATAGTCACCATGCTGTACATTAGATTCCCAGGACTTATTCATCTTATAATTGGAAAATTGGTACCGTTTGACCAACATAGAACTACTGTATGATCCAGCAATTCCACTTTGGTGTATGTATCCAAAGGAAATGAAATCAGAATCTCAAAGAGATATCTACACTCCCATGTTCATTGCAGCATTATTCACAATAGCCAAGCTATGGAAACAACCTAAGTGTCCATCTACAGATGAATGGATAAAGAAGATGTAGTGTGTATGTGTGTGTGTGTGTGTGTGTGTGTGTGTGTGTGTGTATGTGTGTATCTAAAATATTATTCAGCCATGAGAGAGAAGGAAACCCTGCCATTTGCAACAACATGGATAGACCTTATGTGTGTATGTGAATTTCCTAGGGAGTTCATTCTATTTTGATTTTCTACTGCATTAGTAAAATATTAAAAGTTGACTAATATATTCTTATATAAAGTATAACAGTCAGGAAAGTAAAGATTTATGTTGTCAAAAACTAGAGGTATTTTAATCAATGAATAATTCTAACCATCTTGTCTAATACTGTGTTTTTAAAAGAGAAATGAAAGTTTTAATTTTTTAAATAAGGCTATTCTCAAGTTGAATAGGGAAAGTAAAGGTAGAAACTGAAAAGGGGAGAAATTATATTTGATTCTCTGGTAATCAGTTTGGCAGCCTTACAACTCTTTGTTTTATCTGTATCTCAGAACTGTGGGTATCTGTCCACCTTCCCTAGAAGTCAATTAGAATGTGAAGTTTGCAAGGGTCAGAAGTCTATAATTCATGGGATAATTGTAATTTGAAGTATGAAATTTGGTAAGCTCAATAGTAGCATTAGTATAAAACTTTAAAAGACCGTTTTAATATTTAAATTTAGACGTCAAATCTCTCAGCTCTGTTATTATTAGTCAATGAGCAATTATGTCATTATATACTTTTTTCACAGAAGCTTAAATAATTTTAAGTTCATAAACTAGTTCATAAAATAGTTTTAAGTTCATAAACACTTTTCCCTCCATTTTTAAAACATAGTAAAAAAAATCTTTTTTTCTTTTGAAATAAACGTAAGATAGGTTTTAGTTTTGTTTCCATCATATTATCTTCCTCCAAGTCACCACTGTTTGTCAGCTGCGGTGAGTAAGAGAACAGTTGAATTTCTGTATTTGAGAGGGATGCCGATCATACAGATGAGTAAACTCTTCCCCACATTGTAACTGTTTTTAGTGAAAAAGCTAAATGGAGAAAAGAAGTTGAAGGCACTAGGTTTTGGGTATTAGATAATGAGAAGAACACTAGAATTTTATATATACATGAAGCAGATGGAACAAATATACTTTATCTAATAAAAGTTAAAATAGTTAATGGAGGAAAACTTTTCCAGAATAGTTTTAAGTTTTGACACAGTTTTTTTCTACTCATTCCTTACGCCCCTTTAATTTTCTCTTTTCTCTCCTATTTTTCTTTTCCCTGTGCATGGATAGCACTTTAGAACTAAAAATGCTCTATGAATGTTGTGCACCAGTAAACCTTAACTTCACATACTTCACCAGGCACTGAGGATAGAGGGCTTATTCATATAGGATCTAATATAGCCATGTTTGATATTTATGTGGGATTGGCAGTCATAGGTATTACGAATACCTAAGTCCTGACAACCCTTGTACCTAATGCCAAAATTGGAGGGAAGAGGCAGGAAAAAACTGAAATGGCACAAGGGGGCAGGTCATAGCAGCAAGGCTAGTTGCAAGTTCCATTGCATTCTTTTGGTTACCAAAGCTGTATATGGCTGGGTTCCCCTGTGACCACTGGTCGTTGAAAGTTTTTGTGCTAAGGAAACTCATCTTGATTGGCAACACTAAGCCCTTTCCCCCATTTATCCATCCAGAGGATATTGGAGACCTTGCTTCTCTCCTAATAATGTAAGTAATTGAGAGAAAATGTTGAACAGACAAACCAAATACCAACTATAATGAATACCTTATCAGAGACTCAGATAGCCAGAATCCTTCCCAAACCATTATAGTAGCTGAAAAGACTTTTTAATCCCCATTATTTGTGCACATCTTCCTGTCTTTGTGTACCTTAATTATCCTGGCACTGATGGCATGTGAAGAAACATTAATAAACATCTTAATTGCATTTTTAGGGAAGCATACACGGATCATCCAGAAGTGTTTTTGTTAAGCCATTAGCAGATTTACCTTCTCTCTTCCTATAATTTCATCTCCAAATAGGTGGGCAGATTTTTGAGGGTCAAGGGTTTGAGGTTGTTGTTTTCCTCCACCATGACAATACCTTGGAAGCATATTCTTCCTGTCAAGAAAATCTAACAAAATAAAGCTAAGTCTCTTGAGTTTACCAGGGCTTTACTGATCAGAAAGATAACAACTCTCTGTTCAGCCAGGTCTAGAATTGGACATCTGTGAGATTGATCTCCTATGAATTATCATTTTATAGTCTTTTCATTGCTGTTTGAATGTATGTTGTAGCACATTAAATTTTATTTGTTTTGAATGATAATGCATTCACAGTGTTCAACTCCCAAAGTCAAAGAACATATGGAAAAAGATTTTCTCATCCCTGTTTCACAGCCACCCTTTTCTCCTCTTACCAGCAAGCATTGTTCTTAGTTTCTTGTTTCCTATCAGAGAGTCAGTGCATTCATAAGCAAATGTGAATGCATAATCTTTTTTCCCTTTTTATGCAAATAATAGCATATCATACATATACTGTTCATGTCGGTCAGGGTTCAATTGGGGAAGCAGAAGCATGTGAAAAAAGTGGAATAAAAGATTATAGGAATGAGACTTTGTACAGTTGTAGATGAAGGTAAAGAAGTAAGAGTCTGTAAAGGGGAGCTTGGAAGATCAGAGAAAAGTTACTAAGTTTGAAGTGATGGCACATGTGGACAAATCAGAGCTTGCCAGGGAACCTGGAAATTCAAGTGCGTCCAACTACTAGGATAAGAAAAATTAACAAAGGAGGGCTGGTAGAGAGATCCCTAGGACAGTGTTATCAAATAGAACTTTCTGTGACAATGAAAATGTTCCATTTCTGCACTGTCCAATATGGTAGCCATCAGTCACATGTGCCTATTGAGCACTTGAAATGTGGCTAGTATGGCTGAGAAACTGAATTTTAAATTCTGTTTCATTTTAATTAATTTAAATAGCCACACACAGCAAACAGTTCCTGTTTTGGACAGCACAGCTTTAGAAAGCTGCATCTGGCTGTGGGTGTGGATTTGCTGTTAATCATCAGAGGTGGCAGTTGAGAAAAAAGAGCTGGATGCAGAGCCAGGGAGAGCAGGCACACACTGGCATCTCCAGGCACCTCTGCATCTGTCTCTCACTACTAACGACAACCTTCAGAGCATGATGGCTTCTGCTTCACTTCTGCCTTCTAAAACCTCACTTGAATCTCTGTTTTGGCTAACTCTAATTCAGAACCATACAGGGAATTTGGGGGAATTTGGGATATATGGGGAAACATAACTCCAGTTTAACTAGATGTCAAGGTATAAAACCACCAAACTGCTTTTCTTACCTAACAGTGTATTCTGAAGATCTTAAAATACCAGAACATGAAGAATTCCTTATTCTTTTTCACAGCTGCTATGTGTTACATTGTATGAATGTATATTATCATTCACTTAGCTGCTTATTTTATAATTTATCATAGTGAAAAAAATCAAAAGAGAAATAGTTTTACAAACTTGGAGTGAGAAATATGTTTCTACCTATAACATAAAACACAGAAGAAGCCATGAGAGAAAAGACTGATATAAAAAATAAATTTTCTACACAGGAGAACCTGTAATATGAATATTAATTTTAAAAGAATAAGTCTTCGATGAATGACATTCTAATAGAAGCTCTTTTATAAAACAAATACCAAGCCTGAGTTCAGATTTTATAGATTTTCAGGTTATGATTGTCTATACATATTTGATCATTAACGTGTGTGCTTCATTAGGAAAAGGAAGAGGAGAGGGTCTGTTTAGTTTGTTTGCTTGCTTCCTTCTTTCCTCCCTTCCCCCCTCCTTTTCTCCCTCCTTGGATTTCTAAGCAAATACAGTGTAATTATGGTATTGAAAGTGGAAATGGAAAAAGAAAGGACATGGAATAGAAAAGTCATTGGACTACCAGTCAGAAGATCTTTTCCCACTCCCTGCTAGCCATGCAGCTTTGTGAATATCATTATTAGACCTCATTAAGGAGAGAAACCACCTCATATTTGATTTTTTTCCCCTCTCTAGTGAATAGATCAGTACCTAACACAAAAATGTTTGTTCATCTTATCTCTCTAGGACTCAAAATTCCTCATTTATAAATTGTGGATTATATGCTGCCATGAGGATAAATATGGGATAATATATGTGAGAGAATTTTGTTTACCATAGATAATTTATACCTACCTAAAAAATTATCTTTTTGAAAGAGGACTGAGGACTTCCCTGGTGGCGCAGTGGTCAAGAATCTGCCTGCCAACGCAGGGGACACGGGTTTGAGCCCTGGTCCGGGAAGATCCCACATGCTGTGGAGCAACTAAGCCTGTGCACCACAACTGCTGAGCCTGCGCTCTACAGCCCGTGAGCCACAACTACTGAAGCCCGCGCGCCTAGAGCCTGTGCTCCACAACAAGAGAAGCCACCGCAGTGAGAAGCCCGTGCACCACAACAAAGAGTAGCTCCCGCTCACTGCAACCAGAGAAAGCCCGTGTGCAGCAACAAAGACCCAACGCAGCAAAAAATAAAATAAATAATAAAAAAAGAAAGAAAGAGGACTGAGCTTGCAGGAGAAATATTAATATTGATATAGTAAAAGCCTCATAACTCAGTTCCAGGCCTGGGGGGTCCGGAGGCATGGACTCTACCACTTCACTATGACATTCTAGAGTACAGTTTTCTCTTTTTGTAACTTTGGAAAGTGTAGAACCATATGTGAATGTGAGCTGCAACTTCAGTGCAAAGCAGACTCTGTTGACATAGACGACTTCTAGAACTCAAAGTGTTCTTGCTTTTATCTGTTCCCATTAATGCAGCACACATTCATTGAAGCATGCAAGATACTATGCTAGGTGCTATATCCCATTTTACTATATCAGCTCTTCTCTAATCCAATTTGCTACCCTTATTTGAATTTTTTTATTGATTGAATTTCTGTGATAACTGTACTAAAGGACGTCCCTGAAGAATATTTGAAATACACACATGACTAATTCTGACTGTGGCTTATTTTGACTTAGAAAAAGGCTGACCTTCTGTAGCTAACAAAATGTCACATTTAAGGCTAATAAGATTCTAAAACAAAAGCTTTACTTCTGGTGCTTTTTAAAAAGTTATTTGACAGCTGAGATCAGCTGACTTTTTATTAAATTTTCAAAACATAATTTTTAGATTTCTAGAAGCACATGCTACTCACAGAAGAGGATATTGAATCAAAGAATTATTTAATGTTTTACCTTTTTAGTTATTCTCATAACTTCATGCCCTTTCAAGCTTGATATTGAGATCCATACAGCTATTCTATGTCTTTGCCCAACGGGAATAAATAAAAATTGATATGCTAGGGGGAAGGTATATAGGGGCTAAGATTATTAGGATAATGGTATTTTTATTTATACCCTTGTATTTGCAAATTTGAAATACTGTATATTTTTTCCTTAAGTGTTAGTTACTAAAGGGAAAAAATGACCACTTAAAATGGCAAGACCACAGATAAATTTTAGATCTGAATTTTAATAAGCATGATAATCAGATTAATTCTAAGCCTCTCTACTAGTTTTTGACATATTACTTTAAATTTTTTGTCTTTATCTAATGAAGATTATTATTACTCGTAGCCTCATTTGTAGCACTTATACTTCCAAGAATATAATGGTGGATGTTGGCTTCAAAATTTTCAAGTTGCCCAAATATGAACTTACTTTGTAGGATTTATAGACTCTTCCTTTTTAAAAAGGAACTATCCCTTTCCTTCAGTTTAACATTGAAGGTGGGACCCCTATAGTGGATGAATCTGCCTTGTTCTTATCACTAATAGCCCTAAGAATAGCAACTCTTCATTTAAGGCATATTTTTTTTTAAATGTAATCTTTTTCTTTCAGACCTCTTAAGCTATGAAAACGCAGCAACACTGAACGATGTAAAGACACTGGTCCAGCAGTTATACACTACTTTGTGCATCGAGCAGCACCAGTTAAACAAGGAAAGGGAGCTTATCGAAAGATTAGAAGATCTCAAAGAACAACTGGCGCCCCTGGAAAAGGTGCAGATTCAAATTTCACACTTTTCTCTTCACCAGTATTTTTTCCAGAGCATATATGTTTGCTTTTTTCCCCTCCGAGTTTTGTGTGATTGCATTGTGTCAATCAAACTAGTCCACTAGTTTTGGGAACTGAATCATAAAAAGCTTCTGATTAAAGCTAAGAAAGGACTTAAAAAGGAATAGTTTGGAGCCTTGATAATGGACATAGAGCTTTGAGATCTAAATATACTGCCCTTAACCAGACTTACTACTTTTACAACAAAGATTGGAATAATTGCTGATCAAGAAGGGTTCTAAGTGAGGTGGATAATCATTTTAGCCAACTTAAGAATTAATATTTTATGGAATATTATGCAACTGTTAAAAACAATCATGTAGATCTAATATTCTATAGAAAACACTTCATGATATTTTATGAAAAGTAAATTACAAAATGTGTATATTAGTGCATACTGTGATCCAGTTTTTAAGTGTATTATGCATATAGCCATACACACAACACACATACACACACACACACACACATACACATATATACAAAGAAAAAAATCAGAGGGAACATATTCCCAAATGCTAATAGAATAGTAGGATTATGAATGATTTTTCTTCTTTATACTTTCCTAGTAAGTGTTTTACAATGAACGTGTGTCATCCTTTTTTTTTTTTTAATAAAAATACAAGTATTTCCATTTTAAGAAACCAGACTATATTAGAGATTAAGGAAGGGAACAAATACTCTTAATACTGTGCTTTTTCTGATTTCTTTAAAAGTAAGGAACACATATCTCAAGGTTGTTTTCATTAAATTTAAGACCATTAGAAATGTTGGATAAATTAAATTTGAGGAACTGTTGTGAAGGGGGATGAAATTTAAATCTGGTATTTTCAAAATGTAAAGCATTTTTTAATGTACCAACTATAGCAAAATAATTATCATCCCTTATTGAATATTTACTATGTGCTAGGAATTATCCTAAGTACTTGTATTCTCTTATTTAATCCTCAGAACAACTCATTAATGAAGTTATGGTAATGTGCAGATCAGGGCCTAAACTCAGCCGTTCTGAATCCAGAGTCCATGCTCTGACCCACTGTGCTGCTTTGCCCCTAGTAGACCTTTTGAGTAAAAAACTAATGATAGATTAAATCTTGTACACTACAGTGAGAGAACATTGGCATGTTTTTATTTCTCTCTTTCAAAGAAAGCAATCTTGTGGTTGGATAAAGACCCGCTGAAACTAACTTATTCACTCCCATAATTTCACCGTATTTTCAGCTACTTCTAGGATGAAACATAAAACACAAGTGTATCAAAAATGTTATGCCTATAAAATAGTACTCAGTAAAAACTACAGATATTATTTAGGAAGACAAACTATATTTCCTAGAATTGAGACTAACTTATATCTTGATTACAAGCCCTGTTTCTTTAGTGAACATTGAACAGTTTAAATAAGAGTTTAAAATTGGTTCTATGTCAAAATGCTTTACAGTTGACCAGTCACGTGTGCCCTGTAGGTACGAATTGAGATTAGCAGAAAAGCTGAGAAGAGGACCACTTTGGTGCTATGGGGTGGACTTGCCTACATGGCCACACAGTTTGGCATTTTGGCCCGGCTTACCTGGTGGGAATATTCCTGGGACATCATGGAGCCAGTTACCTACTTCATCACTTATGGAAGTGCCATGGCAATGTATGCATATTTTGTAATGACACGCCAGGTAAGAATTCCTCTTCAAGTAACTTTCCATGAGATAGTACAATGTTGGTTGTCAAAGTAGTTCCCTTTTCTCTCATCTTCTTTCTAAGGCCAGTTCCCTTGAAGTAATCATTTATCCTTTATACATACTCACTCATACAAACACACATATGTGCACATGCATGTGCATGCCAGTTATGTATCAGGCACTGGTCTGGGTGCTAGAGGTAGATAGATATGACATGGCTTTGGCCCCCATGGAGCAAACAGACTATTAAGAGAGCCATATAAACCATTAAATTCATAAAACTATTATAGTAAGATATAGAATAAGAAGGCAAAGGAGAAGAGTGGTCAGCTGTAGGATAACTTGCTCAGTTGGCTTGTCTTTTTATGTACTGTGTAATTAATTTAGCAGTCAGATGGTGTAGTCCCAAGCTTTTGGGTTTTTTTGTTGTTGTTTTGTTTTTTAATTTTATTTATTTATTTATCTGTTTGTGCCCAGTCTTAGTTGCGGAATGCATATGGAATCTAGTTCCCTGACCAGGGATCGAACCCGGGCCCCCCGCATTGGGAACGCGTAGCCTTATCCACTGCACCACCAGGGAAGTCCCAAGCTTTTGGGTTTTATTGAATGTTTGGAATGGAGAATTGGTGATAACTGATCAAATAGTTAAACTAAACTCTGGGCTACTTCTAAATATATTAGGAGTATAGGTGTGTGTTGTTGTTTTTACTTCATGGAAGAGAGGTGAAAATTAGATATCTAATCACTATTCTATTCTTTATCATCCAAGGCTCATATTTTAAATATCAGTGTCTAGAACTAATTTTTATTGTTAGTGCTGTATTTTTAGTAGCTTGGAAATCCATAATGGTCACTTTAGGAAGTATGAAGGATTTATTATCACTTATTTATTACTGCCATGTGTGATACAACCACAGATCCAGGCTCCCTTGAATAAAAAGTATTTGAGGGCTTCCCTGGTGGCACAGTGGTTGAGAGTCCGCCTGCCGATGCAGGGGACATGGGTTCGTGCCCTGGTCCAGGAAGATCCCACATGCTGTGGAGCGGCTGGGCCTGTGAGCCATGGCCGCTGAGCCTGTGCGTCCGGAGCCTGTGCTCCACAACAGGAGAGGCCACAACAGTGAGAGGAGAGGATCGCGTACCGCAAAAAAAAAAAAAAAGTATCTGAAATAGCTGAGAGATATGAGAAACCTTTTCTATTTTCTTAGGTATCAGAAGAAAGCTGAGAGTTGCTTCTCTTATATTTTTATATGGCCGCTATTGAACATAGGCATTTTGTTTCTGTTGTCATTAGACCAATGGTCATAGGCCTATTTTTGTGCAGGAAAATGAAAGCCCAAGGGTGTTATTTAACCTTTCCGGGCCTCCCAAATATGTCTAGTGGAGAAGAGACAGTAAACTGTTCGTGTCCTGCTATTGTTTGCCCAGTGTCTCTAGCACCTAATCCCTTGTCTGGCTCATGTTCGTCACTCTACCTGAACAGAGCTGACAGCCAAATCAATCTTATCTAACCACACCTCTGGACATGGCTTGCATATGTGTATATGTCTGTTTGTGTTTCTTTCCCTCTTCCTCTGCCCTGTCACTGTCCCTCATATACCCCTTTAATGGATTCTTTTTATCGACTGAAATCCAGGCTCCTTAGCCCAATATTCATAACTGGTTGCTGTCCTTTCCAAATGCCTCTCAGCTCCTCTGTGTATGTACTAGGTATTTTAAACACATCAAATTACAGTTGACCCTTGAACAATGGGGGTTAGGGGCGTCAACCCTCTGTGAAGTAAAAAAATCCATGTATAACTTAAAGTCAGCCCTCCATATCATGGTTCCTCTGTATCCATAGTTTTTCCATATCCATGATTCCACATCTGGGGATTCACCCAACTGCAGATCGTGTAGTGCTGTAGTATTTACTATTGAAAAAAATCCGCATATAAGTGGACCTCTGCAGTTCAAACCCATGTTGTTCAAGGGGCAACTGTGTAGTCTGTATTTCCCCCCAAATGCCCTGAGTTTTTCACCACTTCCTTCCTTACTTCATATCATTCTATTAACTGGGAAGGTTTTCCCTGTAGATCGCTACCTGTCATATTTCAAGGTTTACTTAAATGCGTATTTTTCATGAACCTTTGACTACTTCCCTGCAGCCAACTTTGATCTATCCCTCTTCTGAATACCTATAGCACATTGTGCCTCTCATTTCACTTATCCTATGCCATCTTGTATTATAATTATTCATGTTCAATGTCTTTTCCCCTCTACTAGACTATGATATCTTTTGAGGCAAGGCGTTCGGGTGATTTTTTCAATTTTTATTTCCTTACCATGCCTAATACAGTGCCTATCTGTCCTACTGTTTAAATGCTGTCCTACTTCTGTGATTCCTCAACGTTTTTGCTGCCCCCAAGTGACAAGTTGTAAAATAGCAGTAGTAAACAATTTAGTCTTTTGTGAATAGGAAAACACTGACCAAATAAAATGTAAATAGTTTCTCATGTTAAATATTCTTCCCCATATCAGTATCCATAATTAACACCCATGAAACAAAATGCCTGTTCAACAGCATTTAAACTGTTCAATGAGCATTTATTAACAACCTAAATATATTCCAAAAGTATATTAAGTTCCAAAGAATTTTCAAAAGATAAGTTCCTTGACATCATAAAATCAAGTGAAATATTGAATTTTACTGACTAATATTTCAGTGAGACCTGAGTACCATTTTCTATCATGTGAAAAAGGAGCCTGACAATAAGAATTGCCATTCAGCAAAGTTACTTCAGCAGGCATGTGAACCACCATTCAGCCCCCTAGCCCAGGAGTTTTCTACAAAGGGGAGGTCACCCTCAAGGGTGTGAAAATTGGTTCTGGGGGAGTAAAACATCTTAGATATTACAACAGATAAACAGATACACAGTATATTTGTGGTGTTGAAACTTCTTTGAGGGACTTCCCTGGTGGTCCAGTGGGTAAGACTACACGCTCCCAATGCAGGGGGCCCGTGTTCGATCCCTGGTGGGGGAACTAGATCCTACATGCATGCTGCAATTAAAAAGCCCGCATGCCACAACAAAGATCCCACGTGCTGCAGCTAAGACCTGGCACAACCTAAATAAATAAATAAATATTTAAATATTGTTTTTAAAAACTTCTTTGGGGAGGAGGGGCAATTAAGGAAAATAATCTAAAAAGGCAACTTAAGGGAACAATGATGAATAAAGGTTAAGAAACACTGACCTAGCCTTTAATACCTTTTGTCATCTCAATTCCAACATCCAGCATTTATATTCTACTCCAGCAAACTACTTCAGTGGCCATTCAGGACCTACTTAGAATAAAAATTAGCATGCCTAATAATTTAGTATGCCTAAACCTTTAGGCTCCTGACATCTCTCAACTTTTTTCCTTCCTTCCTCGTGTGTTGCTTCCTTTTCTGTCGAAATTAGACCATATTGTCATTCTGTTCAATCTCTGCTCCATTGTCTTTCCACCATATATACTCTATAAACTCCTAATCTTGGATAAATTTAGCCATTTATCCTATATCCAGGCTACTGAACATTGCTAGAGAAAAATCATGTAATAGTGTGGATTGGACCACTGCTTGTGTTTCTAATTAGATTTTCTTCCCCACATAACCCTCTCATTAGTTATTCTAAGACTTCACATCAGGCTCCTCATCCCACATTTAACTTTGCCTCCTACCTCTCCTGGAAAATTGAGCTTAACAGATACAAGCTTGCAAATTCCTAAACCCTGTGAGTTTAATAGTATCCATACCTACTTTCACACTATTTCCTTAAATTCAAGTAAGAGGTGGCATTTTCCTGCTCAGGGCTAGCTCTTCCACCTGTTCTTAATCCCATTACCCCCTTCCAGAATCTTATGCCAGTATATTTTTTGTGTTCCCTATGTTATCAAACTCTCCCTCTCTGACTCTCTTCCCTTCATAACCAAGCTCTATGTGTATCTCTTCTCACTTATTATCAAATTACCAAATTTCTAGAAGAGAGTCTAGCATGTAGTTGCTTAGTAAATGCTTGTTGCCCAAAAGAGGAAGCATAGAATATATCTGAATAAATTGAATTAGTGTGTACATTTACATCCTCAGCAAAGATAGGTAAGTGGCCTAGTAATAGCAACTTAGATGAAACCTAGAGGGCTTTCCCTCAAGTTTTTAATCCAACAGTTATCCCTTAGGTCAGTATTACTTGATTCAGACCACGATTCTATCCATTTTTAAAAAGCTTCCACAGTCCCTTCAACCACTATTTGTTCATTATCTGTCATCATCAATAATTAAATATTTACTTCTGTTTCTAGTTATGGCATCCTAGGTAACCAGAACAATGCTCCCACTAGGAAATGTTAAAATAGTTAGACAAAACATAAAACACATCTGCCTGTAGACTCTAGAGAGCTAACAAGATAGCAAAAATTACCAGGCAAGAACCAGAAGAAGAGAAGTCCCAGGAAGGTGAAGCTGGTGTTTAGATGTGCTTTTTCCTCTGGGGATTTGTATTGATTAAAGAGGGTAAGGCTGAGAGGCCAAGAAGCTGAGCTATACTTGATAACCTAGAAAGACCAAAGCCATAGAGATTCATGTCCAGGGATTGCTAAAGTAGGTTGAAACATTTTTGCTTTGGTTTGGAATTTTAAAGGCCACTACTGTAGAACAGAAGAACCTGTTGTAGGCTCTCTCAGAGACTGTAGCTCATCTTTCGATCATCCCAATCTTGTAAATTGGATTGAGGTAGTCCTAGAATGCTGGTGATCCCAGAGTGCTGATATCGCTGGTTCCAGGCCAAAGAAAACATTAATCATCCCTGGGAGGAGATAACATTATCCTAAACCTTACATTATTTCTACAAATAATTTTGCAAATACAAAGTTAGTCATACAATAAAAAATAAGCAGATACACAGGAAAACACCTACAGAAACAGTAGACATTTGAAACAGACACAGATAGGAGATCTAGTTACTGGATTTATC